CCCCAAAACCCCAAAACCCCAAAACCCCAAAACCCCATAACTACGATAATTTATTAGAGTAGAGATTAATAATTTATTACAATAAATCAATAAAGATAGTATTAGAATTATATTCACTAAGTGAGCTTTCTCAATTATCAGAATGTTTATTACTAGCTCATTTCTTTTTCTTCTTAATTTCAAATTCATCTACCTTCTTCTTCTTCTTTTGCTTTGGCACTATGCAATATCCTCTTAAGTAAAACTTAACTGCATCTAGGAAAGATATTTTATTCTCACTCATTCTCCAGAATATATGAAAGAGTACCCAAGCGAATATTAAGAAAACGAATACAACTATTGATGCTATACTGAGCCAATAGACATTGTAGAGTCTTGAGAGAATATTACAGAGAAAGAAAATATAGCAAATTGCAAAGGCATATCTAAATATGTAATCTAAGTAGTTGCTGAAATATTCATATAATTTGAACTCAACAGAGTTTTCTATCTCAAAGACTTATTGCATTTACATTCTTGTTCTAGGATCGAGGTCAAAGTCAATTTAGGTCCAGTTTTCAACCACAAACTTCTTGAAGCTATCAAATGCCATTTAAAACTTCACATTATTAAGATTTTTCAAATCTCCTTTGACATCAGAACCTTTTTGGGCCTCCTCCAGATCATCTAAAAGCCGTGTCAGCTTCTTCTGATAAAGCTCTTTAGCCAATTCCTCTTCCAATATTTCCTATTCATGTCTTTTTTGTTTTACAGCCATTTCAACTAATTCCATTGCCTTTTATCTTAATGCCTGCTTCCATTCTTAATCTTCTGACTTCTCCGAGGATGTGTCTGATGCTATTGAGTTCTAAAAGCTTTCTTCTAAACTGCTCACACTTTCATTTTCTTTCTCTTTTTCCTGAGCAGCTTTTCCCTTAGCAACTTTTCCCTTAACAACTTTTCCCTTAACAAGTTTTCCCTTATCCTCTAATTTTTCTTCTTCCTTATGCTCTTCCACACCCTCTTATTCCTTTTCCTCATCTACTTCTTAAATTCCCCATTGAACTTGCTCCAAGTCTTCTGGCTCTATAACATCAGTCCAATTCTTTTCATCATCATCATCATCTGGACCAGCATTATCATCGTTCTCTCTCTCTTATTAAGGACCCTCTGATCTAATAGTGCTTTTCCTTTTTAGTATTTTTCCAAATTGCCATTCTTGATCATCCATTAAGGCTCTATTTGTTTAAGTATCTTCTTTCTAAGGAGTATTTTTCTTTTTCTCAATATCTTTTTTCTTCTATGTGAAGAATGACTGTTATCTAGATCCTTGACTCTTTTCTTCTTCTATTAAGAATTCATCGTCTATTCTCTCACTTCCCATCTCTACTGATTACGTTCCTTAGGTATAGCCATTTCTGTGATTAATCATCTAGGAATTTTTCGACATTGATTGGCCACCAGTGCTAAGTTGTACCACTGAATTTTATCTAGAATTATCATTAGTAACTATCAACTTCTTGATGACAGATTACTGTTTCCTTTTTAAAAATTCCATCATATCTTTTTGCTCTTACAGTTTTTCTTAGTCCTCCTTTAATTGTTGATTTTTCTGCATTAGCAATTAGAAGGCATTGCTAATCTTTTTAGCTTATTAAATTTTTAAGAACTTCTTCTTAACTTTGGCTAGATTTTATCTTGTGCTTTTAATGATATTCTGGATAATTTCTAGTCGTTTAAGGTACTCAGTCAAACAGAAATTCATTATAACACACTCGATAGTTGTTATAAGGGAAAAGACTTCGACACCAAATGAAAAGTCTTCAAGGACAGTCGTGTATTCTAGAGGAGGCAAGTAATTATATATAAGCAGATTTGTTTACATCGTCATAAATACTGTTACTATTGCTAGAAGTATTCTAGCAGTGACCTTCGAGTTTGTGATCCAAAATGCTGTGTAGCTGACCAATATAAAAATGCACATCGTAAAAATGTACTAGATTGCATAAGAGTAAGGATTTCTATCTAAAATTATTTAAATCTAAACTCCCGATGCTAATGATTTATCTATTGTATCATTTGTCAAAGTATCAACAAGACCCTCCACTAATAGAATAAAGTTTAAAATGCTTACATCTGGTTCTCCAAGACAACCCATCACTACTAGATTTTATTTTTATTTCACTATAGTTTTTCGCTCCTGGTACGAATGTAGATTATGGATTATATTTAGTTCTAAATGACTTCAACTCAACTTGTGAGTAGTTATATCCACTGATACTAGCCGTGAAATTACAAATAGTAGTATCGTTTGGGAATAATTTGAAATCGAAAGCACAATGATAGGTTGATCTAGCTTTCTCATATCTCACTACTGTTCCATCAGCAAACAATTAGTCATAAGCTTTGATAATAACTCTTTCTCTGCGATTGTCATAATAGAACCTTGGAGTCCAGAATTGGTTTGTATATCTCGTTAGATCAATAAAGTTTCCTTTAGTGGCAGTGCTAAATCTAGGATCATTTCTAAAATCCAAGCGAGGATCTCTCCAGTATGTATAGGTTTCTTCAACTACTACATACTATAGCAATATCAAGTAAGGAAAAATATATTACAGTGTTAAGCTTGTCATTAACCTCCTAGAATTACTTTAGATCATATCTAAAATTCACAACTATATTAAATGATCATGCAATTTCTAATGGGATTACCTGTAGATCTGTTTTATTATGGAGGCAAACTATGGTCATAGCCTGTCATTAGATAGCTTATGTAGGAATCAGTCAAAGTTTGAGATTAAACTGCGATAATCAGAGAACTCAGAAGGATTAAGAATTTATTGCTGCATTTACCCTTAAAATAGCAACTTTAATTTAACATCTTTAACAGTATAAAATTTAAGAGAAATTAAGATTAAATGCATTTGTATTTATAGATAATAAATCCTATCAAACTTAAATAAAATTAATAATAAAATCAAACAATTTGATGCTCTGTAATGAAATTTGGGGATGTCATATTTTACTATCGTTATAGTATAGTTGCTCATATCCTCTTTTCAACGGAGATAGATAATTACTAATTTCTACATCTATTTGAGAATCATCTATATCCCTTGTGTTATGCTTTATATTGCTGTTTATTTTGCTGCAAAGTCTATTACCATAATCAACACTATTATAGTAATTGAAAGGCTAAATCTCAAAATCATCTTAATAATCTTCTGATTAATCATAATTTGAAAGATCCTCCTGTTTACTCTGATTCTGTTATATGTTCAAACTTTGCTTTTTATTTATGTTAGGCAATAAACTCCTATTTCGTAGTACATCTAGATCGTATTATTCTATATTTTGTTGGATACTTTCCTATTAATAATTCGTGTTTGTAGTGTGATCTTAACTTATAAAGAAAGATGTTTGATCAACAGAATTGTTCTTCTATTCCCTATAGTTTTATAAATTTTGCTTAATTCCTTTCAGTCCGTTTAAAAAATCAAAAGATTTTCTCACATTCTTATCCAATTTTTATAGATATTTCCCTTAGTTTTTAGAGGCATATTTCTCCTCGAAAATATGATCAGATTTTAGTTTAATTATAGGTTTAAGAGTTTGCCTAGACTATTAGTTAGAGTTTTAATTCAATTCCAATTTTATAATATTATTGGATAGTGGAATGTAATCATAATATATTGATTTTTATTGTTTTATCGGTTGATAACTAATTAATTAATCAAGATCTTTATTATTATTTCTTGATTTTTGAAGTTTAGATCTGCTTTAATCTGGACTAAGCAATTTCCCCATTGGAGAATTATATCTATGATCTAAGATGAGGTTAGTGGTTGATTAGTTTATAGTAGGAGATGTAGACTCAATTGAATTTCTACTCTGTGTATTTAAGTTTTAACTTCTCTTAACAAGCTTAGTAATTTCATCTTTAATTTTTACTGGGGATATCAGTTTATCATGATGATTAGGCAGAGCCTTTATAAAATTATAACTTCCACTGCTTTAAACGTGGAGATTTGTGCTGCTAGTTTCAGCATCTACTAGTTATTGATTTTTAACCTTAATTGCTTGATACTTCAAGTTTCTGTGATCAAGGCTACGTTATTTTTGCTAATTAAATAAATTAGAAGCATTTGCTTTGCTTGAGTCAATTGCTGGCTTCTAGAATTTTATAGGCTCTTCATTTTTATAATCTTTATACACCTACAAGATTTGTTTGTTAAACTAGGCTTGTTTATCGCTTATTGGTAATTAAGGTTTCCTTCTAATTTTAGCATTTTTTCTAGACAATGGATCATAAGAAGCAATCCTTTGGCTATCTACTGCTATATCCTTGTCGTTTATGATCACTTAGAGAGACTTTCTCTCATAGCTTTGATCTAGGAACTATTTCATGCGGAGTTTTGATTTCGATAGGATATGATTAGAAATTCTATTCATTGACGATTAGGATTGAAAAATCATGTCCAAATACATATTATCGTAAATAGGAGTTTGCAACCCATAATTTTAAGATTTATTTCTAACATGCTGTATGATATTTTATCTGCTTCTGAGTTTATAATCCTTAATGTCAATTATCTTGAGACTAGAATATTAATTAAAACTGCTCATTTCTGCCTGTGACTCTTAATTTAGAGTGGACAGATTCTTCCTCCTCTCATTTATTGTAATACTTATCATAATAGATAAATTAATTTAATTAATTCTCAATAATTGCCCATATTTTAATTATTTCTTAGACTAGGGGTTTTGGGGTTTTGGGGTTTTGGGG